TTTCTCCATATATATATGAAGGAGAGAGGGAGGGATGGAGGGAAGGAGAGAGAGGGACAGAGAATTGTGGTCCTCTGGAGGTGAGCACGGGGTGTACAGCTAGCCATGGGACCCCTCCAGCTGACCACAAGGTCCCAAGGAGGGCATCGGGTAAAGGCAGCAGCGGTGTGACTGAGGAATTACTGGACAATGCTGAGTTGATGGACCATGCAAGAGCTGAGGAACTGCCAGGGAAAGAGCCACCATGTGCGTGAACAAACTCAGCAGGTGGAAAGGAGGTGTGAGTTTGGAGTCATCGTGCCTGGGTTCAAGTTCTAGTTCCCTGCCTCTTACCATAGCCTTGGGCAGGCCACTTAAACTCTCTGACCTAAGTCGACTGATGTGCCAAATGTAAGGATTGGTCTGGCTGAGCTCTGAGCTCTCTCTAGCGTTTCACTGGTGCCATAATTGCTAGGGCCTGGGCAGGTCCAGGATCTGGTGTTTAGGGACTTGGGCGGGAGCCCTGGCATTTTTGTGTGTCCAGTAAGACACAAACTGTCCTACCTATATTTGCTGTCTTGTTCACCCGAGTGCTTGCATGGGAGCTGAGTGGAGACTTAGACCTGAGTCAAATTCTGGTATTCCCACCAAACCCAGTTTCTAGATTGGTTCATTAGATTGGAAATTCCTTGAGGGCAGGGGTTGTCTCTGGCCGCTATTGTATCCCCAGGGCTTAGCACAATGCCTGACGTATAGTAGGTGCTCGCTAAATGTTGATTGTGCAAACCCAGAACTTTACTTCTGGACCATGGGGACTTTTCCTGGAATGTTATGGAGCTTTGGGTTTAGCAAAGCAGACTCCTAGGCTAACGGACTCACCACAGGTGGTAACGTTGTATTTCTGTATTATCAGTGGCCAAATTTAGACAGACTCTTAGAAGAATAGGGCAGGCACCAGCTCCAAGCAGCACTAGACAATTATGCATTTGGGTGAGTGTAAACACCAGTCAGACGAGATTTTGATTTTAGGTGCCCATACCATATGTGAGGGGGGTACCACTGAGAGGACTCAACATGCTAAATTGACTCTCTGGGGGAGTAGGCAGCGCTACAGTGGATAGAATATTGGGCTTGGAATCAGGAAGACTTATCTTCCTGAGTTCAAATCTGGCCTTAGACGCTTCCTAGCTATGTGACCCTGGGCAAGTCACATAAAGCTGTTTGCCTCAGTTTCCCTCTTTGTAAAATGGGCTGGAGAAGGAAATGGCAAACCACTCCAGTATCTCTGTCAAGAAAGCCCCAAACGGGGTCATGAAAGGTTGGACATGACTGAACAATAAGCAGCATTGGCCATAGGGTCTGTTAGAATCCTCAGATCTTGTCACATAAACTATTTTTCTAAACTCTTCTCACCCTGTCCTGGTGCAGTTGGACCTTGGCAGCGCATTTTACATTTATCCTATTAAATCAGCATCATCTGTTAAGGTTGAGTATCCGGGGGAAGATGTCTATACTATGAAGATAAACTGGGTACTTGTCAATAGACATCGGTTATCTTCCATCCATCCTTCCAGGCTCCCAGGCTATAATGGGACACCAAAGAATTCTTTGGATGCCACTCATTAGTGTTCGGAAGGGTCCAGAGATCTGGTCCATGGCTATGTCTGAGACAGAGCTTGGAGCAGTTACTGAGGGACAGAGAAAGCAGCCAGGAATATTTGTAACTAGACTTTGAGGGATTAATTATAACATTTTTGTCTGGAAGGGGATGTGAGTCAGTACCAACATTCTGAGAATTCTGAATGAATAGGAATGGAGTGTGACCAGTAATTTCTGAGGCCCTGGGAGGGAGGTAAACTCCTGCCTGGGTGGTGGGAGTGTGGAAAGAGGGTTTAGTGGAGCTAGTAAGAGGTTCTTAGGGAGAGATTCTGGTGTCCTCCCATGGACCACCTTGGGCTTTTAGGGAGAAATGAGGAGAGATCCCTGGAGGACACAGAGCAGTAAGTTCCAAGGGTCTTTTACGAGTAAAGAGAAAGTTTCTCCCAGGGAGAAACCGCTGGACACAGGCACTGGGTATGAGTGTAAGGTCACTGTGATCTATGGCACCATCTTTTAGTACTAGGAGATCCTTTTGGATACTGATTCCATTCTCTACATTAACTGGCCCTCCCCATTATGTGTCAGCTGCAGAGCTGGCTGGGCAAGGGTGAGTCAGAAGGTGGTATCCATCCCTCAGGGACGAGCTTGTCCAAAAGCCCATCTGCCAGGGGAAAGGTCTGCCCCCAGCAGCACGACCCTGAGCAGCAGTAGGGCCTTGCCCTGGCTGTCCTCTCTGCATGCTGGGAAGCTCTCCCATCCCTCCTTACTGCCACCACCACCTTAGAATCCCTAGCTTCCTTCAAAACTTGGTTCAAGTATTGCATCCTGTCTGATCAGACACTAGTGCCCCCTCAACCTAGGAAACTGCTCATAGCATAAAATCACCAGCATTTAGGATATATGTCTATATGTCCATGTGCCTCCCTCATTAGATTGTAAGTTCTTTGAGGGCACAGAATGCTTCCTCTCTGCCTTTGTTTTCCCAGAGCCTAGTGGTGTCTGACACACAGTAGGTGCTTGTGTTTGGTGATTGGTTGATAAGAGTACAGGCTACAACAGGGGGATGAAAAACACCCTAGAAGAAATTGTGATTCCCCACAAAAACCTTTCATTACCTAGGATAACAGCCTTCTGCCCTCTACTTTAAAGAGAGAAAATCAAAAGCTCCTCTCCCTAGGTTGTGGCCTGGGCTCTGGTAGCACACACTCCGGATTCCTTCAACCTCCTACGACTTTGGGCAGGCATTCTGGCTGCCGGGATGGAACTTTCCGCAGCAGAGAAAGTCCTTTTTGGTCTTTAGATGCTCCTTCCTAAGGCGACGTATCCAGACAGATTTCCATCCACAGGGATTCAGGCTATGGGAATACTCAGTCTACACATGACTCCCACTTGCTGTACATCCTGCCGCCCAATGAGGGCTGCCACGCTCCTGAGATGGAATTATTACTTCCAGTTTCTCCCATTTGTAACTTGTTTGTATATAGTTGTTTGCCTGTTTCCACCATTAAACTATGAGCTCCTTGAGAACCAGGACTGTCTTTTGCTTGTTGACTTGGCTAGGGCTAAAGATTATTAGGGTTCTAGTTTTAAGGGGATATTTAGCATTTCAGTATTCTAAGGCCCCCTGTTTCCCACACACCCTGAAATAAAGGGGCCAGGAGCATAACTCCAGAAACAGCTTTGTTCAGTCACACAGAAAAGGAAGCGCCAAAGCCCCAGACTGGTTGGAACCACCAAGGTCGCCTAGCCGATCCCAGGCTCAGACAAAAAACTCCTCTAAACATCCCCATTAGCTGGTTACCATCCTGTGATTGGAGACTTCCAATGACAGGGAACTCACTACTTTTAGGACATCAAGTCAAATGCTACATGAACCCAAAATCCAGAAGAAAAGAAGGAAGACACTTCCAACTTGGAACCTACTGTAGGTAAGAGGGACAATGGAAGGTCTCCAACTTAAGAAAGGATTGTGCATTTAAATTTATTTCAAATAAATGCTCAGTCAAAATACTACATGGATCTGTGTACATTTACTTGTCTTTTTTAAAAAAAAATGTTTCCATGAAATGATTTTTTTTGGTTAATCACCTAATTTTTAATACAATATTTATATACAAAACCCCATTTCAAACAACTTCCTGTACAAGAGAAAATAAAGCATCCATTTGTACAATTTCAGCAAATAACAAAAGTATTGGAGCCCTTGGTGTTAGGGTCAGAGACTGCCTGCCGCTCACACAAACGTCAGGACGTCACACAGGGAATGAGGAAGAGGAGTGATTACATTCATTGTTCTCTTGGAGAGGGTCTGGCCTTTGGAAATCTCAGACCATCGGGCTTTGGTGTATGTGGAGAAGACTCCTGTCACTTAGGAGAACTCTGTGTGTGTGTGTGTGTTTAATAAGCCTTATAAATGATTGTTGTCCAATAGTGAAATTCCTGTAAGTAAAGATAGAAGAGCGTGTTACCAAAATATAAGCCCTTTATTAATAAAAATCTTTGGTAGGAACAATCTTTTAAATGCCTTGCAGAGATATTTGGTTAACATAATAAACTCCATCCACCTCTGGTACATTTTAGGCCAACAGCAGAAAAAAAATCAATCTCACCCCATAATTTATTTTTGAAACCAATAAATACCATGAAGCTGAGACTGTCTCCTCTGGAGCGAGTCAGTATGACTTCTATTTAAAACCTGAAATAGCCTCTAAAAATACCCCTCAGGATGCCTTTATCGACATGGTTCCATCCAAACCAAAGGGTTTGACAAAGGATTGGGGGTGGGTGGATAGGGGAAGGAGAGGGAGAGAATAGATTGGGGTTGGCCACCTGGGTGTGTTTGGGGTGGTCTGGAGGGCCTTCCCCCATGGGAGGCCACAGTCAGCTCCTCCCAGCATGCACTGCATCTGGGACCCTGAAGGCCAGACTCCAATCCCCCACTCCCTAGGCTGCTTGGGGCAGGGCTTTCTCAGGTGGAAGCTCAGAAGGCCCCAGTATGAAGAACAGGAACATTATTGGTAGAAACAGATTCCCTTCCCCTGCTCTGGCAGCTTCTGAAAACCCACCTCCAAACCCAGCTTGTGACTCAGCAGCTCCCTCTGCTGCTAGGAGCGCAGGCCTTGCATCGAGGGAAACCGCTTTGTCTACATGTTAAGGCATCAAAAAAGTTCGAAAGGCTTTTTCCTCTGGTGACCCTTACTCGTCTTTCAGCAGAAGACATTACTGAGTCTTCCGAGAACTGTTTGTAGTATCTGCACCAACCCTATGGGCATCGCCATCAACTTGTGGTTTTTTATTTTTCATTTTTTTTGATTAACCTTGGAGAGAGAGAGAGAGAGGAGAGAGAGAGAGAGAGAGGGAAAGCAAGAGAGAGAGAGAGAGAGAGAGTGAGAGATTCCCTGCGTTACAGTTTGTGCAAAAAAAAAAAAAAAAAAAAGGAAGAGTGCCCCGTCAGGACATGGTCCTCTGTTTCTGCAAGAAGAGAACTTCTGCCCAGCACAGGCACCGCCAGATTTTGGCCCGCTCTGGACCCTGCGCCAGGCTGTCCGTGAGTCAGACCGTACTGCAGGCAGAGCAGCTCTCCCTAGCGTGCCCCAGGGCTCTGGAAGTCCGGGCCTCTCTCCTGCTAAATTGCCACATGGTAGGAGCGTCTGGATGCTGCGCTGCCTCGCTGGGGCCTGGGGAATGGCGGGCTGTGATTATTGCAGTTGTCGCCCTGGAGGTTATCTTTCTCCTTTGTGGTCTCCAGCATCTGCTGCTTGCCCTGCTCCTCCTTCATGAAGAGTTCCACCAGGAGGACCTTCTCCTTGTGAATCTGCTGGCTGATGTCTTTGGGAATGTCGGGGATGATCCAGTCTACGAAGTCACTCATGAACATGACCAGGTTCTGGGGGGAAGAGAGAGGAAGAAGAATGGAAGGGAAAGCATTATTGTGAGAACTTAGCCTTATTTCTAGCCAAGCCTGGTGACCTGTATGCTCTGACTCTTTGCTGGGCTGCCCCTCCACTGGGGGGGCCATTGAAGGAGATCAATAAAGTATCAGAAAGACATCTGCTCGGGAGGATTTCAAAAAAGAAACAACTTGTGCTTGGGACTCCATGGGTTCACTTTTAAACTTCCCAAGGGATGGAGGTCATGGGGGAGGGGGAGGGAGAAGGGAGCTTACCTTTCCTTATTTTCCCTAGCAGTAGTGATCATGAGGGTTGTCCAACCCAAAGCTTTTCTGCACAAGTAATTCCCATTCCTCCTGTCATGGTGCCCCCATTTCATGGCACCTTGCTCTGAGGATGCAGAAGGCACTTCAGGATTTTGTAGGAATCCTCATTCTGACTCTGAGATGGAAGAGATCTCAGAGACCATTTAGGCTCCAACACCCTCAGCAGGTGGCTGTCCAAGCCCCTCCTGGAACCCTTCGCGGGGAAGCCCTCTCGATGCTGAGACTGCTCCCGAGCCGCAAATCCAGCTCTGTCTTTAAAGCCAAGCAGAGCAAGTTGCCTCCTCTTCCCCTACGCCATCCTTCAAACACTTCAAGATGGCGCCCAAGGTTCTCCAAGGATCACAGATCTAGAACAGTGGCCACTTAGTCCTAGAACCATAGGACCCTACCTTTAGGGACCATCCCATCCAACCCCTCATTCTGCAGGGCAGAAGACTGAGGCCCAGAAAGGTGGAGTCACTCTGGGAGGAGGTGGTAGAACGGAGGCCTGGTGACTCCAGTTTGGGTCTCTTTTCCTGGCATCTCAGTGCTATCCCTAGTTTCTTTAGCTGATCTTATATGTCACAGCACTATCGGTCAATACTACGGAGGAGTGGGCAGGCAATGACCCAACAGGCGCCAAAGTCCTTTGGCTCCATAACAAATGGATTAATTCTGTCAATGGGAATTTGCCGAGCACCTGGGATGTCCTGCGTGGCTCTGTCCTTGGTGCTACAGTCATCAGATCCATCTGCTTGCTAAGGTGCCCTGGAACCTCTGGTCTCATGGTGAAACCCAGGCTGTGCCTACTTTGCGCATGAGTCAGAGCACGTGGGCAAGGAAGGCCAGCAGCTTTCTGCTGATTCCACAGGGTGGCCCAGCTTTCTTTGGAATCACCATGCCCTAGGACCTGGCATGGATGATAGGCAAAAGGAATTGAGTGATCAGCCCAGCCAGAAGCTCCTCTCTTGGCTCCTGTAATCAACAGCCCAGAGCTGGGGGCTGGGCTCCCTGATCCCAACCCCTGGTCATGATTTTGGAGCTCTTTGCCTATGATTAGGCCCATGGTTTGGGCCTTGCTTTCTGCTGGAGAGCTCTTTCCAGCCTAATGCACAGAGAGACAAGTGGTTTCCCCTCTACCTTTCAATATCCTGTTGGAGAGAGAAATAAATGGCAACAGGCTTATACAGACTGCTCTCTGTTGTTCAGTCATCTCAGTTGTGTCCACTCTCTGGAACCCCATTTGGGATTTTCTTGGCAAAGATACTGGAGATGTTTGCCATTTCCTTCTCCAGCTCATTTTACAGAGGAGGAAATTGAGGCAAACAGGGTTAAGGGACTTGCCCAGGGTCACACAGCTAGTAAGTGTTTGAGGCCAGATTTGAACCCAGGAAGATGAGTCTTCCTGACTCAGGCTTGGCACTGTACCCACTATGGTGCCACCTAGCTGCCCAAAACTGCTCTCAAAGAAGCATCAATATGACAGCTGGGGTTCAGGTCCTCAGTGGGGATAGGCTCCTTTAAGGAATTCTTGTGATCAAGGCCCAGATCTTTGTCTGTGAAGCTTTTATGGACCTGATATCTTAACCTCCCCCAACTAATGTCCCAGGAAATAGAGAGGTGTCTTTATAAAATTAACTTAAAATTTTCCCTGACACATTTTGTTTGACATCCCTTTCATTTCCACCGGCACTCCTCCCTGGAGTCTAACAGGATATGCCACGCTCCACACCCATGGTCCCTAACTTCTGCAAAGGGAGGCAAGGACATTTTCTCAGGGTTCTCTCCAGGGAGTTTCTCCTGGGAAAGTGTTCTGAGGCCCCACCCACTCACTGGTCTCTCCCCTGGTGATCTCATGTTTGCTGATGCTCCATTGAAGCTCCCCCTACCCTGAGCTCCCAGGGTTCTTTCCGTCTTCACAAACCTCCCCCCTTTCCCCTTTTGTTTAACTACTACCATCCCCTCAGGGCTCTATTTTTGGTCATTTATTGGCCTCCCTCCCTGGAAAAGCTCATGAGCTAACATAGTTTCAACTACCAACCGGATATAGATAATGCTGGACTTACTGTCAAGCCCTGACCTCTTTCTATTCTTGAATAAATGAATGAAAAGGAATTTGCTAGGACTTACTAAGTGCCAAGCTCTGTGCTAAGCTCTGGGAATACAGATCGGAAAGTGAGACCATCCCTGACCTCATAGAGCGTACATTCTAAAAGGGGCAGACATCACCTTCATTGATTCCCTAGAAAGCTTCAGGACATTGGACCAAATGAGCTCTGAAGTCTCTTCCAGCTGGAAAATCCATGAATGACTTTCTAATGATATCTACTTGGGTGCCTAATGGACACTTACCCCAAGCTGACCCCCAAAGTCCCTCAGCCCTAATTTCTTCATTGGTACCATATCTGTCCCCTCCTTACCGCACCCTGGGCTCTCCCCTTTACCTCTCAGATCTGTCCCTTTTCTCCTTATTTCTGCAGCACTCCCTTCACACCTCCCCCACCTCAGAGTCTTGTGCCAGCTTCTTTGGTGGGAATTCATGCCTCCATTTTCTCCTGTGCCCTCCAATCACAGAATTTTAGAATTCCACCAGTACTTAGTAGCCAACTAGTCTAACCCATATCCAAAAAAATGAATCCCTACCACCACACATCCAACAAGTGGGCATCTTTCCTCTGCCTGAAGACCTCCAAGGAAGGGGAAGGAACCTACCACTTCCTAACTGTGGCCATGCTACTTATAGCAAAGAGACCAGGATTGCTCAAATACCCTTAGCATCAGGTCACTCTGCTTCTCAAGAACACACAGTGATTCCCTAATGCATCCAGCCCCCAGCCTGCAGAATCTTCTCATGGCTGCGTGTGCTTATGGTGCCAACCTTGTTTATTAGGCAGTTACTGTGTGCCAGGCACCGTGCCCAATGCTGAAGATACAATGAAAGACAAAAGCAGTCCCTGTTCTCAAGGAGTTTATATTCTGAGGAGGGAGGTAACAACAGACATCTAAGACACATCCAAGGATGGAAGACGATGAAGAGGAGAAGACACCACCAGTGGGAGAGATAGGCAAAGGGCTTCTGCAGAAAGTGGGATTGGAAGGAAAACAGAAGGTGGAAACGAGGAGAGAGACAGCCGGTGAAAAGGCCGAGACGAGCTGAAACGCCAGGCGTGTGTGAGCCACAGCAAGGAAGCCAGGGGAGCCGGATTATAGAGTGTGTGTATGGGGGGTGAGGGGGCAGTTGATGTGTAAGAAGACTGGAAGGGCAGGAAGGGCTTTAAAGACAAACAAAGCATTTTAGATTTGACCCTGGAAGCAAGAAGGAGCTATTGGAGTTTAGTGGGGTCGGGCGGGGTAGAGTTAGGGTCAGTCCTGGGCTTAGGCAATGAAGTGCAGCATGGATTAGACAACTAGGAGGTAATCTGAACAGTCCAAGCAAGAGGTGGACAGGAACTTGACCTGGGGAGGGGGGTGTCTGTGTAGAGAAGAGAGAGGGAGATACAGACAGGAGATGTTGTGACGGTAGCAATGGCAAGATTTGGTAACAGATTAGATCTAGGGAGTGAGCTGAGCTCACTGTTGGCGGCGGGGGGCGTGGACGAAGATGGGACCAAACCTTCCCAAGAGCCCTTGATTCTGTGATTGCAGGGCTCATTTCCAGAACCCACATGAGGGGTCTGGAAAACTCCTTTTCCTGATCCATAAAAACCCAAGGCCCACGTTACCTGGAAGACGATCACAAAGGCCAGTCGGGCAGCCAGGACCGCCCAGAAGTCCTTGGATATCTCATACTTGTTTTCTGACCAAGGCGGTTCTCGGTAATCTTTGTACCTGTAGAAGACATGAGAGGCCAGACAAGAATTTAAACAGGACCTCGGGTTTCTTGTTGTATTCATTCATTCGTTAGGTATTTATTAAGCACCTGCTGTGTGCCAGGACATCTTTGGAGACTACAAATTGGCCCATCTGCGCTGATAGAGGGATTGCTCTCCCTGGGAGGTCTCCATGCTGGATGAAATTATAGGATCAGTTAAAATAAAAGTGCTGAGTGGTGTTAGGCACTACCAAGATAAAAATCAGGGTTCCTGACCTCAAGGAACTTATATTCTATTGGGCGAGACAACACTTCCACATGTGAGCCACACAAAGGAGAGGAAAGGTCATTGGAGGGGCAGCAATCAGGGGGTGGACATCAGGAAAGGCCTCGAAGAGGAGGATGGTGGGAAGGGAGCTAAGCCTGGAAAGGGCTGGGGATGCACAAGGAAAATAACCCAAGGGTGGTGACCAAAGCTGTCCCTTGTAAACAAGTCCCACAACCGACTGGTAGCCCAACACCCAAACATCACCCAAGTGGTGCCTGGCAGCATAGGAGGTGCTGAATAAGGGGTTGTGGACTGACTGACCCCTGAAGACGGTGCTGGCACTGGACCGAACTGCATGGAAGAGGCCTTAGAGGTCACTTCTCTGCCACCTTCACCTTACAGATGGGGAAACTGAGGCCCAGAGACAAGAAGTGAACTGCACAAGGCCACACAGTTGTTAGTGTCAGAGTTAGAACCAGAAACCCAGTTTGGGACTCTTCCTCCTGCTCCTACCCAGTTTCCCAGAGTGTCAGGCTCATGAGAATATGTCTGCAAAGCCGTTAGGGCAGGTTTCAAGGAAGGGAAGCGGGGTAAACTTTCCCTGGGAGTCCCCTTGGCAAGGGCAGAACCACCTAAGAACCAGCTCATCTGGTGGAGCAAAGGCTGAGAGTCACGGGCCACCAGGGACATGCTTTCTCCCTGCCTGGGGAATCCCACAGCAGCCCTGGGAATGTGAAGGACCTGTCCCACTGCCACACACGGCTGGCACAGACCAGGGAGAAGGCTATCATGGTCTAGGAGAGCAGGCTCCAGAGAAAGAGGAGCAAAGTCAGCAAGGGGTACCGGCAGCCAGGCTCCCCCAGCTTGCACCCCAGAAGGCCCCATTTTTTCCTCCCCGAAAGACGAAGACCAGCCCTCATTTGCTTTAATTGGGTGCTGGGAAGATTGGTGGCTTCATGCCTCTGACGCAAACTGGCATTAAGAAAAAAATACTCCTGGGGTCACTAAGAGGGTGATGTAGGGAGGGATGAGTATATTGCCTTAATGGCATCTGGGAAGCAAAGCAGGGCTCCGAAGGGGAGAAGTCCCAGGGTGGGGTCCCAATGCTAACAGGTAGATGAAAGGAAAGGCAAGAACTCAGTCCCTGCCCTCAAGGAACTCACATTCTAATGGGGGTGACATCATACACATAGTGTCCATCGGGGTGGGGTCCTTCTAGGTGGAGTCCAAGTTTTACAGAACAAATCCTTTTATTAAGGGGATTTGTTCTATGAAGTTTGGATTCAGTCAAAGGGCGGAGCTTGAGGATTTAGTGGGCCACCTGTGGCCTTGAGGCTGCTGGTTCCCCACCCCTGGTGTAGATGGAAGGGAATCACTGAGGTGTCACAGGATGTTAGAGTCATACCTCAAACATTTTCATGATGGGGAAGAAGGGGGTCCTTCCAGGAAGGAAGCCTGCCTCCCCAGATGTCAGCGCCCTGGGGCAAAGCCCAGTTTGTCCCCTGCTAGTTAACTGCTTGGCTGTATTTTGTCCTGACTGCTTTCTTGGCGCACCCTCTCTGGCCATTGCTGCCCACCTCCACCTGTCCAGCTGCTGCTTTCCTCCAAGAGCCTGAGGGCTAAGATGGCAACACTGGGCATGAGGAGCTCTGCCTCCGTCAGCTGGGATCACAAGGGGAGGGAAGGCATGACGCTCCCAACCCCAAGCTAGTCCGGCACACCTCCTGCACTCACGCGGCTCATTTTCCTCTTTTCTTTTTCTGAAGGGGCCACTATAAATCCATACCGGCAAATCTGCACCTCATAGCCCAGCTCCATGGGGTCGTTGGGAGCCGTCCCGGCTTGGAAGTCGCTGACGTTGAAATAGGAGAGCGTGTGGTTCACGAAGCCGTGCATGGAGCCGTTGGAGCTGTACATGTAGCGGTACACGAGGCGGGGGATGAAGTCTGACGTGAAGGAAATGACGAATGCCTACAACGCCACAGAAGAGAGAATCAGAGGCACAAAGACGGCCTGGGCCATCAGCACACGGGGAATCCTAGCCTGATTCCAATACAAGTAAGGAAGGCCTTAGACTTTCCCTGAGCAAACCTGCCTTGCTTCCATTTTACTGTGTCCTGAATGAAGTGAGATCCTTGGCCAGGCAGCTCTGAGCAAGTGCTGGCTGGAGGAGGAGGGGGAAGGGGGGGAGGAAGAAGAGGGGGAAGGGGAGGAGGAAGAGGGGGAAGGGGAGGTCACCTCCTGGAGATGCCCTTTATGCACCCCCCCTTCAGCCCAACGTTCCAGGCCCCTCAATACCACAATACAAGACCTCATTGTTCAGCCCTCTTCCCGAGCAGGGTTCTGTGCTCTGGGCCTTCTTCCCCCCACCCCCACCCCCTGCCCCAGCCTTCTCAGTCCTCTATCCCACCCCTTCAGAACTCTGGTGAACCAGACAAATCCAGTCCAACTGGGCTGATAACGGCTTCATGTGCATGGTCAGTGTCCTTGCTCTTGGGGAAATGTTAGCTGGGAAAAGGCCTGTGAGAGAGACTGAGGCTGTTCTTCAAAGTATACCCCAACAAGGGGGTTGATTCTCATCCACCCACAGGGCAGCCCTGGTCTGGAGGCGGCAGCCACAGACAACTTTTCCAACTCCAGAGATGCCTGGAGGAGCCCAAGGGAGGGCACCCTGCCAGTCTCTTCCTGATAAGATTACTCAGATGTTGGGACAATGGCTGGTTACCTCCCTGGGCTCCGGGCACAACAGGTGTTTCTCTCATAGATTGGGTAAGCCTACGCTGATTGACTGCCCCAAGGACAGGCTTTGGCTGCTGGAGACACAGCCTCTGGCCTTCTTGGACAAAAGTCCACTGGCCTCTAATTGGGAGCACAGGGCTCAAAAGACATTTCCCAGCTGCCAGACTTCCTCCCGCCTAGGGAATTGGCCAAGGAGACTGCATTTGAAGTGACCGCTAGGCCCAGCATACACATGCTAAGTGCAGGTCTCTTCCTTCCAATGCAATCTGGTCTGGGGCCACCATCTTAAGATTACTTTAACCTAAGTAAAGCGACCATAAACCTTCCTCCAACAGAGTACAGGGAGATAGGAGGAGGCTGCCAATGCTGCCTGGTGGGACGGGGAAGGGGGAAATCCAACCAGGCCTGTAGGAAGGAGGGGAGGAAGGAAAGGGAGCCATGAGTGCAAAATCCTCAAAGAGATCAGGGAACTGGTACACGGGGAGAAGCCTCCATGGGAAAGAGGGCTCCATGGGCTGGCAGCCATTGGCAGAGAGACCTGGTCAGCCCCTGACTTGTTGAAGGGATGGTCAGGGGCATGAGAAACACATATGGAGCTTTGGAAAGATGAGGGCCAGCAAAAAAGGGGCAGAGTCATGGCATCAAGGGCATCGAGGGACCTCGGGGGCTATGGGCTCCCACATCCTCGATTTATCGTTGAGGAAAGCGTGGGCCAGAGAAGCTGAGTGATTTCCCTAATGTCACAAACATCCACCTCGGAGGGATGATCTGTCTATTTATCTATTTATTTGGCTAGGCAATGGAGTTGAGTGACTTGCCCAGGGCCACACAGCTAGCAAGTGTTATGTGTCTGAGGCCGGATTTGAACTCAGGTCCTCCTGAATCCAGGCCTGGTGCTCTATCCACTGTGCCACCTAGCTGCCCCACAGAGGGAGGATCTAAAGCTGGGTTCCGACAGCCCAGAACCCCAGTTCTTCTCACCATGGCGCCTGACCTCAATGGAGCTGGGTAGTCCAGGCAGTGTGAGGAGACCTCAACTCCATTACTGATGACCCATGGGAACTTGGGCCAGTCTCTTTCCTTCTCTGGGCCTCAGTTTCCTTGTCTGTCACAGGAAGGGATGACTACCTTGCCCTCTGAAGTCTTTTTCAGTTTTGTTTTGTTTTTTAGGCCATTGGGGTTAAGTGACTTGCCCAGGGTCACACAGCTAGTAAGTGTCAAGTGTTTTTTCTGAGACTGGATTTGAACTCAGGTCCTCCTGACTTCAGGGCCAATGCTCTATCCACTGCCCCACCTAGCTGCCCCCAGTCTCTTTTTTAGTTTTGAATCCCATGGGCTTTTCCTGAGGTTGTGGATGATGTAGGATGAATGTGTGTGTCTGTTTTTAAACCCAACCTAGATAAGCCCCTGTCAATATAAGGAGACAGCTAGGTGGAATCTGGAAGACCTGAGTTTAAATCCTGCCTTAGTCGCTCACTGGTTGTGTGGCCCTGGGCAAGTCACTTACCCTAAGTCATCTGTAAAATGAGGGGCCTGGATGCAAGGGTCTCTAAGGTCCCCCCAACTTAGATCTAGGATCTCAAGAGATAAACTGTCTGTAAGGGAAACAATTTCTTTACCCAGGTTTAACTTTCTGAAGGCCAGTGACCTCATCTCTTCCAATTAGCCAAATGGCCATTCAGGGGATGAAACAGTAGGGGAGGGGAGGGAAGGACGGACCCAGAACCTGAAGGGCCCTGGATGCCCCTATTCCTCATGCATCCAGCCCCCTGGCCAGTCTCTTTGGGCAGTCATTGTACTTACGTTGATGATAACAGCTAACTTTCCAATGCCTCGGAGAATATTGTACCAGATGCCTGGGAGAAGGAAAAAAGAAACCCAAATGAGGTCAGAGGGAGGACTTCTTTCTTTGAGCTCATCAAGGTGCCCAAATGTGATTAGTCAGGACCAGCTGGGGACAAGAGCCATTGGAATCTGTGACGAGCCTTATTGGAAAAGAAGCTCCATTGGATTCTCTGCAGTGGGGTGGGGGTGGAGGGGCCATAGCCAGGACTAGCCTAGAGACAGGGTGCTGAGGAGAAGGCCTTAAGGAACCTGCTTTAATGCACAGAAGGGATGTGGTCTTTAGCTTATCTGGTGTTTAGAAGGAAGCGGTTGCTTCTAAAGGTCTGGACAGGGGTCAAAGAGCTTCCGGCAGCTTATTCCCCATTAAGAGCTGTGGACTATCTTCCCTTGTTTACACTGATTATTTGCTTAGAAAAGGCTCCCAACATAAATACAGCCCAGCTTGGCTTCTGTTCAGGCCTGGTCCAAAGGCTCTCGAATTCCCCAGGAGCGGTGGCCAAATCCATGCACCATGGGCCACTCTGCTTCGGCAGCCAACTTAGGACCAGAACAACATCTAGTAAGGCCAGGGTAGGCCCTAGGAAGAGGGCAGTCTTGCTAGGAATGAGCTCAGAATGGAATTCCCAATGGGCCCCCCAAGCCTGCCAGGGTCTTGGGTCGTATGTCAAGGTAGAGGAGGCTTGGTGGAAGCATGGCTGGCGTTCCCCGAGTAAACCATTCCCACCCCTGCCATCAGCCAGTTTACATTAGGAGGGGGTGCCTGGGAGGGCAGGCTTCTGCCAGATCGCATGTGTAAACACAGGAGGAATAATTCAGAGCTGAAGTATACACAGCACTTATTCATCCTCTCATTACCCCACAGAAGAAGGGCCTCAGTCGGGGTAGCGGCCCAGCTGCTTCCGTTCACAATCCGGGGTCAACGCTTCCCTGTCTCCCTCGGGCCGGGAGTGGGTCGATACACACAGCACAGTGTTGACCAAGTGGTGACCCAATCTTGGAAGGCTGAGCCTCCCGGGTGAGAGGCCAGAGTCCTGCTGTCCTCTCCTGGGCAGACCCCTTGGGGAGTCAGCTGTGGGCACCCAGAGGAGAGAGGTCAGGATGGGGAAGGAGCCGGAGAACAGATCATCGAGACCTGGAGGGAGGAATTGAACTAGGCTTGTTTATTCCAGAGAAGACAAGACAAGAGGTGTCGGATGTGACAGTGGCGAAGAATTGTCTCCTGAAAGAGCCGTCATCACCTGTCATCTGAATCACTGCAAAAGCCTTGTGGTGGGTCTCCTTGGCTCCAGCCCAGCTGCCGAGGAGATGCCCCTAAGTACAGATCTGACCACGGCACTCCTCTGCCTCCAATGGCTCCCTGTTGACTCGTCTGTTGGGCATTTTGGACCCTTCTCAAACTGGCCCCGGTCTTTTTTTCCCCCAACCTGTTTATGATGCGTGACTGCCCTTCACATCCTCTGTAGCTCAGCCAAGCTGGCCGCCTTGCTCCTGCTCAGACATGGTGCTGCATTTCCTGCTTTCGTGTCTTTGTTTGGGCTGTCCTCCATGTCCGGTATACCTCCTTCCTCACCTCCGCCTCTCAGAATGCCACTCTCCTTTACAGAAGGCCTCTCTGGACCCACTGAAGCTGCTGCCACTGCTCTGTCCCCACCAAAATGCCCCCAATCCCCCTGGATCTCTTTGGTACAAACCTCTATGGTTGGCATATGCCTGTATCATCTTCCTTGGCAGAGAGGCAGCTCTCTGAGGGCAGGACTGATTGTCTGACTTCTTCCCTTGGATCTTCAGTACCCAGTCAGGTGCCTGGCATACAGTAGGCACTCAATACAGACTTGGTAATCAACTGATTATTCTGCTTGGCCTCCGCAAAGAAGACACACCTCAAAAGCTGTCATGGTGTGGGCTGGGCTGGCCGAAGGGTGATGAGTTCCCCAGCGCTGCAGGTCATAAAGCACAGGCTGGGTGGCCACTCGCAGGGATGGGAGAAGGGATCACTGAACATGGATGGGCAGGATTCGAGGCCTCTGCGGTCCCTCCCACCTCTGGGAGCTGTGCTTCTGCGCCGTCTGTCAGGGCCTGAATGAACTTGGCTGGGTCATTTTTGGTCTTAGGATCCCAGCCCCAGCAGAGTCTCACACACAGGAAATGCCCAATAGATGTCTGAATTCAGTAACCATGCATTCAATGCCTACTATGTGCTTATCATTGTTCAGCTGTGTTTAGGGGTACAACAAAGCAGCTGACACCTTCCCTGTGACTCAGGGGGTCACAGGGGATGCTGAGCAGACAAGCCTCAGACATGTGGGCCATAGCTGAAGGACACATCCAGGTGTGGGCTGGATGGGGCTCAGTGTGGGAAGCCAGAAGGGGGAGAGGGCAGTGGGACAGGAGTGATAAGAAGAAGGTTCAGGGATGCTTTGGGGCTTGTTCAAGGTGGGGCAGAAGTGGCCAGGAGGGGGAAACAGCAGAAGTAGAGGCATGGAGGAATGACTTGGCCTAAGAGGGAGAGAGGGGCTCTTTCAGAGGGAATCTCAGGATCTCTGCTTGGAGCCTTCTGGTGACGGGAGGCTCACTATCTCCTAGGCAGCTCATTCCCCTCGGGGACAGCTCCTGTGACTAAGAAGCTTTGCTTTATCTGCTTCTTGGTCACTTGCACCCGCTGCTCCTGGTTCTGCCCCAGGCCCGAACAGACCAAACTGACTCCTAATTTGACAGGCATTCACCTTCACTGTGTCCCAAACATCTCCTTCTTCAGGTTAACTACAGCTTCCTCCCACCAATCTTGTACGGCATGACCTGAAGGGCCTTCCTTCTTGGACCCATCACAGTCTCTGGATGCTGCCCAGGTTAGCTTTGCCCTCGCCTGTGAGGAGAGGGAAGTGCAGTGGAGAGACAGCCCCGAATAGCAGGATGAGCAACTGGGGCTCCTCGAGCTTGGTGGCTGGGGGCACAGCCCTCGAGCTGGACTCAGAGCCCGTGGTCCAATCTTGGTGCTGCTTAAAACTGCCTGGGTAATCTGGGCTGCCTCTGTTTTCTCCACTGTAAAAACCTGAACCTCACAACAACCCTGCTATTAGTATCCCCATTTGCCAGATGAGGAAACAGGTTGAGTGGGGTAAGGTGACTTGTCAGGGATCACACAGCTAATAAGAATCTGAGGCCCCTCAGATCCAGCCCTCTATCTAGAACGCTGCCTAGTGGGCAGAGGGCTGGGGCTGGCCCAGGAGGTCTCTTCTAGCCCTGCCTCTGTGAACCATGGGTAGGACTGGGTTCGAGCAGTACTTCTGGGTTTCCTGGGAACGCCTTGGGAGGAGCTACTGATTGTTATCACCACAGGCAGATGAGTCCCAGCCCCGGCCTCATGGTGTGGGGAGAGGCAGGGGAGGCCCCAGGCAAGGGGAGCTTGCCTCTCCTTCTACAGATAACTTGGGGGCTCCCACTCCCCTCCCTCCACCCTCAGGCGAGGTTGCTTCATCTGAGGAGCCTCCACACCAACCCAAGCGATCAGGCTAGCCAAGCTTCTCAGAGCCTCCCCTGCCCCTTCTAGGGCAGAGGGATACGTGTAGGGACTAGTCCTAATCTCATAAGGGTTCCCTAGGGCCCCAGGAAAGGGCACAGGCTTTGGCATATCACCCAACGCTGCTTTGGCAGCAGCCACCCACCGCTGGAGCCAGTGTCCAATGTGAAAGAGGCCTCCTTCTTGCAGCCAGCCCCCTGAACTCCCTTCTCCTGCTTGGGGCTGGCTGCTTGAGGCCTGACCATGGATCATAGGCATAAGACAAAAGGCTCTCTTCTCAGGAACGACAGTCACGGAGTCCACAAACAAGCCCCGGAAAGAAGAGGCAGATGCGGAGTTCTGCAGGCCAGACAGGAACCAGCTAAAGGCCAGCTGATCTGCAGGAGTCAGCTAAGTGAGCCAGCGTTCGAAGGAACCTAACCCAAGGGCTAGCCCCAGCCAGAGGGGAGCACAGTGGCCAGCCCTCTCATCACACAGGTAGAGAGGTGGCATGTCAGGCAAGTGAAGCCATTTGTCCAAGGTCACTCAGGTGGAGAGCAGAGTGCCAGAGCTGGAACTGGGACGCAGCTCCTGAGGTTCCTTAGGCAGGGACAGCTAGAATTGCTCCAGGGTTATGGGGGAACGGGGGCGAGGTGGGAGGTGGTATCCCTCCTCACAAAAGAGGATAAAAAGCCACAACGAGAAATGAATCCAAAGAACCATCTTCCCCAGAGACAGAAAGGGATGGAGCACAGAGCCAGGGAAGGAGGCCACTCTCCATCTGCTCAGCCCCTGCAGGCAGAGCAGGACTCTACTGGTACAAGTTGCTGGAGTGCAGACTTGGGCTCAATGTAAGCCCCCCACAATGGATGCTGTCTGGATATCTATTTTGTCCAGTCACATCCCTTCACGTCCAGTGTGCCGCATCTACCGGACTCCTCCTGCCAGACTGCTCATGGGGGGCAGGGATGTTGCTACTCTTTCTGCATTGACAGCAACCACTCAGTGCTATGGACACTTTTTATGAGGTGTGTAAAAGGAACATGTTGACTGAACTGAACCTCTGGACCTCAGTTTCCTGCTTTGTTAAAGGAGGGGCTTTGAAGATGAAGATCCCCAAGGTTCCTTCCAGCTTGAAACAATCAGTGGATATGCATTTATAAAGTGCCCACCATGAGCCAGGCAAGAAGGGGTAGTGTGGTACAGTGGCTAGCGGGCAAGCTGACCTTACAATCAGGAAGTGCCAGGTCTGGGCATCTCCTCTGCCACCTTCTGCATGTGGGACCCAGAGCAGGTGCGGATATGCTTGAGTACAAGGAGTGGTCAGAGCCAGGTTTAGGCGGATCCCTTTGGCAGCAGCAAGAAAGATGAAAAGGAAAGAAGAGAGCCTAGAGGCAGGGAGAGCAGTAAGTAGGATCTTGGAGGAGGCCAGATGAAGCGGGAGAGAGGCCTGAACCAGAGCAGAGGCTGAAGGAGAGGAGAGAGGGGATGGAGGCCAAAGGGGTGCGAGATGAAGACTCAACAAGACTTAGTAGCTGATGAGATGTGTGGAGTGAGGGTCAGGGAAGGCCCAAAGGAGCTTGGGGCCAGGTAGCCGAAGATCCAGAGGGCCCGGACACGCCCCTGGAAGGAGCAGCGAGGGTTGCATTGGTGGGGGTGGGGGGAGAGAAGAGAATTGCTTCTGATTTGGCTGCAGTGAGCTGGAGGTGCCCAGGGCCCATCCAGTGGGAGCTGTCCAACAGGCAGCTGGTGACATGGGGCTCAGTAGAGAGATTGGTGAATGGGAGTACATGAGATCCCCAAGGCGGATGGTGTGGAAAGACAAGAGGACAATCCTGCAGTCATATGGGAATCTCCCTTGGGAGGCAGCAAAGCCCAGCATGCTGAGCCCAGGATCTCAGAGGCCGTAAAGGCCAGCTGACACCTGCAGAGCAATCTTGCTACCTCTCCTCACCTCCTGAAGTTGCCCATTCTAGTACAGGCTAATTCCACTGGTCAGAAAGCTTTCTTTCTCTTAGGACTAATTCAGCCTCTTTCCAATCGCAGCCTGCTACAGTCCTGCTCTCGGGCCGAGCCAAGAAGGGCTAACCTCTCTCTCGCCAGCAGCCTTTCAAACACTAGGAGATGCTTTGCAGCTTCCTCCCTGGTAAAAGATCACTGGTTCTTCCTGCCACTCCTCATGTGACAGGGACAGACAACACTGCTGGCATTTCCCTTTTTTTCTCCTTAGTTTCGTCACTTGGAAAATAGGAGCTGAGTCCTAAAACATAATGGCTGCCTCTGTCTCAGTTTACAGGGACCAGAACTGTGGCTTGAGTGACACAGGAAACGGCCAAGGCTGGCCTGGGTGCACTGAGATGTGGGGGACTTGCTCAGAATCACCCAGCCTGTGCATGGCAGGGGTGCGACTTGACCCCAGACCTTGTTAAGCCCGGGACTGGCTCTGTCTGCAATGTTAGCCTGCAAGGCTGCCCCATCTCAGCTAGCCCTCAATGCTGTGGTCCCCCCTGGAACATCCTGGGCCTTGGGCTGACAGAGAGGTCTCAGGATTTCCTAAGGAATCCTATAGACCATCCCCAGTGATCCTGCCAGAAGTAGCAGCTAGTAGGAAGGGGCTGGTACAGTGAGAACAAGCCAAAAGTACCCAGGCACAAGAAGCCCCCACCAGACACGCATTCTCTGAGCAATTGGGCCTAGGACTAACCGGGGAATGCGAGAGCCCAACGGATGATGGCCTCATGCTTTTCTCTCCTTCCTTACCTATATCTTTCGCTCTGACAGCCACAGGTCTCCGGAGCTCAGTGACAAACTTCTTGGCATCCAGACGGATTTCTATGATGTTGTTCAGCAGGGCAAACAGAGGTGCCAGTGGGAAAGAGGCGACAAACAGGGTGACAAACCCGAACTGGATTACTGGAAGAAAGATGAGTGAGCATTCAGGGTATATGTACATGTGTGGGTGTCTGAGGGTGGCCAGCCCCAGCTGGGTGGCTTTAGCCTTTGGGAGAAAGGCACCTCCTGGACAACTGGTTTACTCAGTTTCACTCAAGACCTCCTCTGAATCCACACCGTGGAGGGGGGCACCCCAGGATCCAAAAAGTGATAGCATCTACCATGGCAGGTCTAGCACGGGAAAGGGTTCAAGCAAGGGCCCTGGAACCATCAGGACATCTGCTCTCTGAGGCCCCTGATTGGCTGTTTGGGGAGGCTGGCTCTGGAGGAGGAAGTCTTTAGCTATGGCAGTGCTCAATACTGACAAAGTACTGAGACTCATAGGGTGAGGAGTGGGTGGAGAAGCTACACAGGTTGGCTCCTAAGTCACAGAGGGCTGGGGAACTGATGCTGGGGTTGGAAGTACCCCCATCAACAGCCCTTTCTAGGTACTGAGATAAACCCTTGATCGTGGTTAGCTGTGTAACCTCAGGCAAGACCCTTAACCTCTCTGGTCCCTATTCTCATTTGTAAAAAATGAATCCATTTGGAAAAGGATGACATCTGAGACACCTTCCAGTTTTAGATGAGCCGTCTCAAGTATTCAGAACAAAATGCACTACGGGACCAAGCTTTGCTTTCCTGGTGTGAGAGCCTGAGGGAGCTCAGGGCTTTTCTTGGCCCCCCTCCCCGGGTGGCTGTTCCTCACTCACTCCTGTCTAGCAGGTGACAATCTGTGGGACTGAGGCACCTCCTGCGGAGCTGGATGTGTGCACTCTGCCAATGAAGAGAGCAGAGTCGGCAGTGAGAGGGAGAGGCCATCCCACCCCTCTCCCATCACCTCCCTTACACCTGGAGTGATTGCATCACAGAGAGCCCTGAGCTTTGGCCCAGATCACAACCATTTATCATCGAGTGCATTTGTCTCCCCCAGTTGTCTGAGGCTCAGAGTAGGCAAGCACCTTGGCCGTGGTCACAGACACAGCAAGTGTCTGAAGAGGAATCAGACCCCAAATCTTCCTGACTCCCAGTCTACCACTTTATCCACTAAACCACACTAAAATACGGGGAGGAATAACATCCGTGCCCTTATCTAAGGAGGAAAGCGCTTCGTCAGCTTCAAGCAGCAGACAAGTCAGGCCGACATCGACGCTGGCCCTGACATTGACCCTGATCCCGACCCCAACACCCATTACACAGTCACTGCTGCCTGCCCAGCCTGGACCCTGCCGTCCAGGAACTCACAGTCTCCATGGCAACAAAGACTAATGCATGGGGAAGAAGTCAGTGCTGCGAGAGAAGCTCCCCAGGGGCCTGGGAACTGTCCTGGGACACTCATCCCCCCAAATGTGAGGGGTAAAGATGGACCCTAATGACCCCAAGCTGCCCTGAAACCTCCTGCAGCTTCACAGACTGTAAGGAAACCTTGTTACAGGAGGATGTCGCCCTGCCTGCTCCAGCGAGCTACATTGTAACTGAACTCAGCTTGGTTTCAGAGCAGAGCGCTCAGGTCTGCGGCTCGCAGCACCTTCCCCTCTGATAGGAGCAGTTCTGATCCGTTACTCTGTCTCTTAAGGTACCTTGCTCTCTAGATGTGGTGTTCTCCTTTAGGCTTGGTGCTCTTTGAAGGGAGAGACTCAACTGCCTCTCTTGGACTCTCCAGTGCTTTGCACAGCACCTGGCACACAGCAGGCACTTAAATACATGCAAACTGTCTGGACTGAACAGAAAACTTTTTTTTTTTCATTTTTAAACCTCAAAGTTCCTTGTTTATGTACAGGAGTAGATTCCTGTACTGTATTCCTGCCCACTTTCCCTGGAAAGTACTTTTGGAATGGCAGGAACTTGGTTTGTTTAAAACATCAGTTGTAAGAGAAGGAACTCCCCCCCCCCCCAAGGAGGGCAACTACCCAGAATGCTTTGCCCAGTGCCATCTTCTTCATTCTCACTCAAGCTGAGGTAAAGAAACACCTGTGTGGTCCTCTGGATGCCACAGACCCTGACACCAAGGGATAGCAGAGAGAGGACAGTCTTGCCCAGGGTTTGGGGGTGATTACAGAATTGTTACCTGTAAGTTTTGGCCCCTAAGCAGACATCTCCCAAAGAGCCATGATTCTATCCTGTAAGTATTGCTTCCTCCCCCCTCCCCCCCAGACCCTAACCCCTCATTGCCTTAATCAAGGATTTCAATGGATGGCTGTGGCTGGCCTTCGGTGACGAATCCCTACAAACTTAGCTTGGTAGGAGGGTTGGTCCTTGGACAACTGTCCATCATAGGCTTAAGACTGAATGTCTGTTTGTCTTGGTTGGACCTGCCACACTGGGCCCTTCCAGGACAAGGCTGGTTACTTCTAGAACATGGGGAGTCATCAGAAATCGGGGAAAGTAGAGAATAAGAGTGAAGGAAAGGAGAGCTTCCCACTGGGAATTTTCTGAAAATTGCAAAAGAGGTGAACTTTATCCTTGGTAGCCTCCTCTGTTCCTATCCAGTGCCTTCCGCAGATAAGGCCTTGCTTGCCTTTCAGGAGGCACCCTGCTGGCACAGTCTGAATTCCTCTAAATCTCACTCACTCATTTCCATGTACTCTGGAGTTAGTCCCGCGAAGGGCTCCAGGTTGTAATCCACCTCATAGCGCTGCTTCTTCTTGGTGGATTCTTCATGGTCAATTGGTCGCTGTTGTTTTAAGTAGCGGAAAAATTTCTTCATTTTTCTGGAAGGCAAACAAGGTGGAATTAATTAGCTTCCAGAATTAAGTACTCCTTGGAGGGAACCGAGGAACGATCATGGAATTCGTACTTCTAGGCAGCCGACTGTCAGGTATATGCCATCTTGTTTTTACCAAGTAACTGACGTGACTCAGGCCATAGAGAAAGCCCTACATTAATTACAATGTTGAAACCCCCCACCCCCTTTATTCCCAAACCTACATAAAACTTAGCAGATGAGGAAATGGAGGCCCAGAAAGAAAATGACTTGTCCAAGGTCACACAGGTAACACATGCAGAAATCTAACTTTTCGTTTAGGGCTCTTTCCACTGTCTCTGGTACCATCTGCCCAGGAGAGTGGAAGCTGCTCCTTGAGGGCAGGAACTGCTTTCAATGTTCTCTTTGTATTATGTGTCCAGCACAGAGCCTGGCACATAATATGTGAGTATCTCATGAATGAAGGAATCTCTTAGATTCACAGAATGTTGAGTCAGAAAAGACCTTTGAGGTCATCTTGTCCAACCTCCCTCAATTCACTGATGAGAAAAATGATGTACAAGGGCCTACAAATGGCAGATGGTGGAGCTGGGACATGAACTGGGCCTTTGGGTGCCGAGCTGGGCCATCCAGCCTGCCTCCAGCTGGCTCCTAAATGTTCATCCAATTGAATGTCAATGGCCTCCATAGAACACAAAGCACCCTGGGGCAGCCTCGAGCTGAGAGTGTGGCTTGTTAGAGGATCAACCCACAAGGCAGTCCGTGAGCTGACTCAGCGGCCCGGCCTTGGAGGCCCACAGAGCTTGAATCACTTGCTCAAGGTTCCTAAGTTAAACCAGAGCCCTGAAGGTTCCCACTGCTCATCAGGTTGCCCCTCCTCCCCATCCCCAACTGACTTTTCTCAGCTATGAATATCCTGTTTTATCCCAGCAACAAGAGGCATCCTGGCCCAATGGACAGGATGGAGGGCCAGCTGTGGCATCAGGAGGGCCTGGGGGTGAGTCCTGCCCCCAACACATAGTGGCTCTGTTATCCCAGGCTCTAAATAACTCTCTGAGACTCTAAGGTGTGAAGCAGGTGGCTGTCCACATAGATGGAAGGCATTTCCACGTGTTAACAAAATGAGTAGATGAAAGTTAAAAATAAGAGCAAGGTGGGCATCATTACTATGATTATACTTGTACTATGGATGAGGAAGAACTGTCTTTGGTATCCGTTAGCTGAGTGATCATGGGAAAGACACGGAAACTCATTGAGCTGTTTCTTCCCCTGTAAGAGAGGGCTGACACTACCTGAAGGAATTACGTCCCAGATAGATCAGGACATCTGTAAACTGCTGTCACCACTGGTGCAGCTAGGGGGCACCATAGTGCACAGAGTATGGAGCCTATACTCGGGAAGATCAGAGCTCAAAACTGACCTCAGACATTGACTAGCTCTGTGACCTTAGGCAAGTCACTTCACCTGTCTTCCTCAGTTTCCTCATCTGTAAAATATGGATAATAACAGCAACTATCTCGCCAGGTTGTTATGAGGATCAAAAGAGATCAGCACAGTGCTTGGCACATAGCTGGCACTTTACACAAGCTAGCAAATGCTATTATTGTTATAGACATGTCAGCTTTCATAACTTTGAGGAAACAGTCTCATAGAACTCAAGAGTTTGCAGTGGAAATTAAAAATAAAATCTCTTCCATTTATATGCATTTCAGAGTTTACAAAGTCCACCTTCCTCTGAGCCTCATTAATAACAGTAAGGTGGTTGCTGCACATGTCCTCTATCTCTCCATGCCCCCCAGAGAAGGAGGGAATGCTCCACAGACTGTCCTGATGCCCAAGAAGGTGGATTCAAAGGCTCCCACATTTCCATGCCCTCACTGTCAAGGACTTTTAAGTGTCGGGCATGGAAGGGTCCTTCAGGGTCATCTAAGCTGGTTCCCTGCACAGGGGACTGTCAGTCAGCCTCGGAAGGAGAGAAGCCCCTATCCCAAACCAGTAGGAGTCCACACGCTCGGCTGCTCTAGGGCCCCCAGCCTGGGCCCCTCCAATTGCCCCTCTCCCCACCATGGTGGCTCACTTACGGAATGCCTATCTCGAACAGGTTGTTCTGAATCAGCTGCTTGCCCAGCATGATAATGCTAAGCTGGATGCAGAGCTCCATCAAACAGCCACCAGGTGCACACTGGGATAGCACAGAGGAAGGAAGGAGAGCTCATTAGGTTCCATTGGTCCTCTCTCTCCTGCCTCCTCCTCTGCCTCCTCCCCAACTCTGACCAGGGCACTGGGGTGGGGGCAGGGGGTTCAGAGCCATTCAAGAGCATCTCCTTTTGAAGCTTAGCCTTCATGGGAACAGAATACCTCAGTGATCCCCTGGAAAGCACCGAGTTCAGTGCTTCTTCCTAGACTTGGGGAGACTGAGGTCCAGAGAGCACTTCTCTGAGTGTGGAGTGAGCTATTAGCAGAGCTAAGACCGTAACCTGGCTATCGATCAGATACTGATGGCTAATGCTCTGCCCATTAGGTCACACTACCAGTCTGGTCTCCATGTGCTGATTTCGTTTTTAAATCTAGGGAAACATCCTGTTTGGGGGCCAGAGTCTACAGAGATGGATCCTGCAAGATCCAGGCTCAGCTAAGGATCTGGGGAGGGGGGAAGGAGTGAATTGGTGGCAGTCACTGCCCTCTTGTCTAAGGCCCAACTGACGTCCACTGCTTGCCACAAATCAGCTGCTTTCTTTGAAAGGCCCCAAAGGCATAGGTGATGGAAACAAGGCCAGAGCTAGGTGGGGAGCCCTGGGGGGTGCCAGTCACCTCTTCCATGCGGAAGGAACCAAAGATGTAGACGTAGTCTCCCGGGCGTCCGACGAACCTAGAAAAAGATGCGGGGGATGGGGGGGTGGGAGGGTGGTTATGAACGGGAAGCTCAGCTCCTGGGGCATCATGGGAGAGCAGCTCCTCCTCCCCTTCCCCCCAAATGCCCTGGTGGGAGTGGTGGGGAGCGTGACCCGAGGGTCTGCTGGGTCTAAAGGATGAGTTGTTGCTGTTTGAAGTGGGACTGGCCTGAGGGATCGCTATCTCCACACTCTCATCTGTTGCAAAAATACCACAGATGTTTCTGCTTCGCCAACATTCATCTGACCCCAGCCTCCCCTGTAAACATCCCTTCAAAGTGTAAGAGAGTCAAGAAAAAAGACATTCATCTTCCCCCACAGGAAAACAAGGATGGAGGATGGGGAGAATGTTGCCCCAGAGTGGAGTTGGGGAGGACGATGAGCTCAGCATCTGAACAGAGGCTGGGTCGGCCCTAGAAGCCAGCTTGGACCAAGCAGTGCATGGCAGCCCAGGAGCACGCCCTGGTCTCTCCATACATTCCCTGGTCAGACCCTCCTACTCAATACAAAGGTCGGATAGCCTGATGGGCAGCAGCCACCCTGGCACTGGTGATGGTCAAAAGAGGTTCCAGGCCTGGGAAGCTTGTCGTGAAACTCTCTCTTTCTCTCTGTCTCTCTGTGTCTCTGTCTCTTTCTGTCTCTCTCTCTCTCTGTCACACACACACACACACACACACACACACACACACACAATAAAAGCAAGGGTTCAGAACAGGAGATTGAGGTGGGGGGGGCCAGGGGGACTTGCTGTAGAAAGGGGGGGCAGTGTCTGGGCTCTTCTTAGCAGAGTCAGTCCATGCTGGCTACAAGGTCAGACAGGCCAATTCATGAGTTTCCCCATGGATTTTGATGGGAAGAGGTTCCCAGAGAGCTTTGTGCAACCTTGGACCCCCTTTAAATAGAACAATAATAATAGTGGGCCACGAACCCAGCATTTTCCAAGGTCTCATCAAAGAAGACTTTATACTGGGCAGGATGAATCCAAAATCAGATCTGAGATCACAAGAGGAAGGAGAAGGGAATAACTATGTATTTAGTGCCTACTGTGTGCTAGTCACTTTAGGATTACTATCTCATTTCACCCTCACAACTCTGGGGAGGTGCTGTTGTTATCCCCATTTTACAGATGGGGAAATTGAGGCAAACAAAGGTTAAGTGATTTGCTCAAGGTCACACAGCTAGCAAGCATCTGAAGCAGGATCTGAATTCAGGTCTTCCTGACTGCAGCCTTAGAGCTCTACAGGGGTGACCTGGAATGTGGCCTCCCGGGATTGGAGTCTTTTAGACTGGACTACATGGGCAGTAGAAGTGAGCCCTGAAATCCAGGTGCAACAGACTCTGACTTGGGCAGTGACCAAGGAGGCCTTGGAGTAGATAGCCTGAAGGGAATGGGGCGCGGTGGGGCCCCAGCCAAGGTCATCACCAACGGCCACTTTCTACTAGCCAGCACCTGAGGAGGCAGAACTAGGAGAGCTGTGGCTATGGACCTGGAAATGACCTTCCTCTCATCGACCCAGGACTCCATATTGACTTAGGATTCAAACTCAAGTGATTAGACTCCAAAGCCAGCCCTCTTTTCATTCCACTACATGACAAAATACCCAGAGTGACTGCCCTGAGCCAGCCCAGACCAGGACAGGTCTCAGGTCTGGACACTAACAGGTACTTGGCGTTGTCCAGGCATCTGCTCATCTTAGTTGGGGATGGGGAGCCCCTTGACTCTACGTGATGTGAAAAACGTTGGCTTGGCTCGGCCACAGTTTCCTGGGCATCCAGTGACCCCCCAGGGCATTTGGGTGTCCACAAGGTTATTTTATCATATACAACCTGGAGGGCTGCCCTCCCCCTGCAAGGCCACATCCTCCCAGGGACCAAATATGCTGATTTCTGGGGCTCTCACCGGCCTTTGAAGAAAGCCACATAAAAGATGGGGGTGTAAGCATTCACAAACTTCAGCAGGAAGGCCTTGAAGATCAACCGCTCCTCAAAGTTCTTGTCTGTCTTGGGAACCTCTACAACCAAGAAGATGGGTTTTGTTTTCAAATAACCAGCCAGATGTTTCCGCCTGACCCCTGGCATGAAGCAACAGGGAGAGCCGGTGCCAGGCTACTCACCGATCTGGGTCAGCCATCGTGCTATGGAGCCGTAGAGTTCATCCAAGATAATGATGACCACCAGGTTAATGATGACCGCTGTGGCCGTGACTGTGACCCGCACGTTTGACCGGCCAGAGGGGGAGGAGCTGATGGCCAAAGCCGCTGCAGTGGAGATCCTGTAGATGATGACTGCAAACACGATGGCGAACGTCAGTCCAATCTGGGAAGGAGAGAGAGAAGCGTGGCCTTCATTTCAGTCTCTCCGGGGGAAACTGAGTGAGTCAGCAAGGTGAGTCCTGGGGGCAAGAAAGGCTGTAGATTCAAGCACCCCAAGCAGTCCTTTCTTATTGGAACCATTCAGTGTGTGTTCCCACAGCCCACCCTGAGGGAAGCAGCGATGTAGTATGAATGAATAAAGCTTCTATGGACCAATTACTGTATGCAAATCACCAGGGATGAATATAGAAAGACAGGCCCTGCTCTCATTCCAATGAGGGAGACAGACAACCCAGACGAAGTCGTCCTATGGTGTAATGACTTGTCCAGGGTCACCCAGAGAATTCATTAGAGGTAAGATTTGAACCCATATCCTTCCTGGTTCTCTGTCCACTGCACTGAACTGCCTGCAAAGCACTTCACGTCATGATCTTTACAACTGCCATGGAAAGTAGGTGCAATTATTATCCCCATTTTGCAGATGAGGAAACCAAGGATAAGAAAGGTGGTGACTTGCCCAGGGTCACACAGCTAGTCAGTGTTTGAGAGAAGCTGAACCCAGCTCTTTCTGACTCCAGGCCCAGTTTTCTTTCCACTGAGCTGTGCTACCTCTTGGTCATGTAACTAGCAGGCTTTCTCACTAGTGGGGCAAGTTTGCCAGGAGATGTTCGCTAGGAACAGGAATGTTCAAGTTAAAGCGCTATCTGGTTTGCTTCATCACCGAAGAAGTCTGGAAGATGCGGTGAGTTTAAATCCTACCTCAAACATTGACTAGTTGTGAGACCCTGGGCAAGTCACTGAACCTGAGTCTTGGTCCCCTCTGTACCTCACAGGGCTCCTTTGTTGTTGTCAAGTTGTTTTTTCAATCATGTCTAACTCTGTGACCTCATTTAGGGTTTTCTTGGCAGAGATAACGGAGTGATTTGCCATTTCCTCCTTCAGTTCATTTGACAGATGAGGACCTGAAGCAAACAGGGGTCAGTGACTTTCCCAGGGTCACCAGTTAGGAGGTATCTGAGGCCAGATTTGAACTCCTGGCGATGACTCCAGCACCACTGTGGTGCCACCTAGCTGCCCCCACAGGGCTATGGTGAAGATCCAAAGAAAGGATACATTAAACGTTATACATGTTTAATCATTATTATTGTTGTTACTGTTTTCACCACCAAAGAAATATCCTAAGATAAGTTTAAAAGAATTAGAACAAATCATGCCCTGTTGTTGTTTCTGGTGTCTGGAAACAGAGACAGCCGGAGCAGCCGAGAGATTCAGATGAATAAAGGTTGGACCTAGAGCCCTTCGCTTTCCCAGTGGAGCCCTATGGGGAGACCCTCCCTGATCAGATAGCTACTCCTGAGCCAGAGGCCTTCTTCCACCTTCCTCACTCCCATCCAGAAAGCAGCTGGCAGCTCCACCCTGTGGGTGGGAATTCTAGAGGTGGCACCACCCTCCTTGCTGATGAGGGTGATGAGAGGTCCGGAGACCCGACAGCGTTGGCAGGAAGCAGGATTGGCCCTGGCCTTCCACCTAACTGGAGACATGGCTTCCTTTGGTTTTTGGGGAATGAGAAGAGGACTGGAGGAGATCTCGCTTTGAATCCCACTTTAGCCAATTCCTGGCTGGTTGACCCAGGGCCAGTCCATCTTTTTGTGCCCTCAATGACCTCCTCTGTGAAATGGGGATAAGAATAGCTGCTCCCTGTGAAACTCACATAAGACCCCACAGCCTAACCTAAAAGGGAGAGGGAAATGTTAGCTTTTCTTGCCCAGACAAGACCTTAATATCGAGCCAGCCTGAGGCTCATATTTAAGAGCTGGGAATTTGGTCTCATGACAAAGACAAACAGCTGGTTCTGAAGTTGATTTAGTCATCCAAAAAACCAGGACCTCAAGGGGCTAATGAACTTCAAGACTCCTATTCTGGCCCATAAGGAAGTCTGTCAGGCAAGGTGTCTATCAGGTGCCCCTGTCCTCCGCAAGTCCAGGTCTGACGGCTTCACTCTCAGGGTCTAGTTGGAAAGTCATGCCACTTCTCTGGCCAAGAACATTCAGTGGCTCCCTATTACCCCACCCCACCCCCCAGGTCTTACTGCTTCCCCTCCCCTAATTACTTTATATTTGCTTTGCATATTTTTCCTATTCGTTTACACAAGTGGTGAGTTCCTGAAGAGAAGGGACCATTCCAGTTTTGCCTCAGTCTCTCCCGTCTGGCAGAGAGGTACAGGACCCCGGCTTCCTTCCCAGCCAGAAGAAGTCCCCAGGCCTGCTTTTGGTTTCCTGAGCACTTACCATGAAGATGAAGCTGACGAGGTTGGTCAGATAGGCCGGGAGTCGGTCCTTCCACGTCAGTTTCTCCTTATCGATCTATAACATGAAATAAACATGTTGTCACATATCCCAGCTCTGCCAGCCTTGGATATGCACTGAGTTTAAAACAGGGGGGCAGCCCCAGAGAAGGGAGGGCAGGGAGTGTTCTATCCCACTTTTTCCTAAGCTGGGGGACGTTGGCTTGCCTCGTCCATCCCACAGACCAGAGCGGTCATCTGCCTCCTCCACATCAAGCTGAAGTAAGCGTTCCTTATTGCAGGTTAAAATGCTTTTTGCCACCTTCAACAACCATGATGCCAATTTCTAAGCACCTTTTTAATCTGAATCTGTTAATTTGCCCCTTTCACCATATGAACCAAGAAGATGGTTATCAAGCTCAGGAGGCAATGTTGTTTAGAAACCCGATGCTGACCCAGTCACCTTTCCTGGATGGGGCTGGAGGACTCTGGTGGTTTTCAACTATCAAAGTGCTGTTTATGAAGTAAGACATCCCCGAAAACAATGAAAGGGGTATATACGTGCCAGGTGGGCAAGGGGGCATGCACGTTCACTAAAAACAACACGTGCACCCAAACCAAGAAAACAAGGCAACTGGGTCAAGCACATTTGTCATGCTTCAGGAACCATTAACAGCTCCCTCCTTTCAAAAACAAATCCTGGTCTCAGCCATGCAGTGCCAGCTTCTCCATGGGTGCTAGATGGGAAAAGGAGATGGGTGTGAAAATCGGGAACGAAAGTCTGAGCAGCCAGAGTCGGTTGGAGGCAGAGAGGGAAGGCAGGGAATGATGGATATCATTGATCTTGTTTTTTGGCAAATGCCCAACATTTCAATTCCTTCAGGAAAGGAAATGTACCAATTTCACCCCCACCATGGCTGTCTTAACTCTTTTTCTCCACATGTTTGCTGTCTCTTCCGGCAAACGTCCAGGCTTCTGAGAACAGGGAGAACAATAACAAAAAATGGACGAGGAGCTGGAGTGTCACCCCTAGCGGAGGCTGGTGCCCTCTGAGTCATCCTCACCCGCCCGACTGGTGTGCACAGCCCGAGCAGAGAGCTCGCCCTGTGCTTTGCTCACTCCAAGGCTAATTTCTGGTGCAGGTCAATTTAAACAAAGAACAGATGGCAGGTACTCAACTTTGAGAAGAAATGCTGCAGAAGGGGCATTTGGGAAGAAAGGTCAAGCACAGAACAGAACTGACGGAGGCTGCCACGCTTGAAGACTCTCCATCTCCTAGTGCTGGAGGCCAGGGTTTAGAACCCGGAGGGTACTCAGAGACCACAGACTCCACCTCTGTCTTTTTAGAGGAAACGACTGAAGCCCAGAGACAGCCTGAAACCTTGGACTGGGCCAAGTTCCGCAATCACGGATTTGGAGCTGGCAGTGACCTCAGACTTCAGTCCAAAGCCTTCATTTTACAGCGAGGAAATGGGAGGCAAAGAGACTTGCCCAAGGTCATGCAGGTCATGTGTGGAATTTGAACCCAAATCCTCTGTGGCCAATTCGATGTGCTTCCCCCACTGATCCTCTCCTGTCTCCAGGCCTTTGCCTAGGATGCTTCTGCTGTCTGGAAGGCAGACTATCCTTTCCGGCTAATGCCTCAGACAGTCCCTAACTTCCTTCAAAGTCATTCCTGACCCTCTCTGCCTGCCCCCCCCCCCCCCCGCAGCTATTAGCACTTTCTGCCCCTCAGAATTACTCTGTACTTATTCCTCTGGAAACCTGTTCTATCTCCTCAGGAGAATGGCAGCCCCCTGAGGGCAAGGACTATTTCATTTTTGCTCCTCCCCCCTTCATGCTTGGGCTTAAGATTTTGTCATTCCACATTAGCTAGTGTCTCTCTACACTGCTCCTCCCTCCTCCTGTAAAATGAAGAGACTGGATGAGATCCTGACAGCCTCTTCAGGTCTCCCATCACTCAAGCCCACATCTTCCAGGGACCTATGTAACTCATGGGGCAGGAAGGATGCAGGTGCTACTCCTACGAATTCCAGTGCTCCCTTCTCTCCTGAGCGTGAAGGTCTAGGGGATGCTTGGCCCATTATGATCACACTATGGTTGGGCCCCTGATGACAGGATTCTTTTTTTTTTTTGGTGAGGCAATTGGGGTTAAGTGACTTGCCCAAAGTCACACAGCTAGTGAGTGTTATGTGTCTGAGGCCAGATTTGAACTCAGGTCCTCCTGACTCCAGGGCCGGTGCTCTATCTTTGCGCCACCTAGCTGCTCTGATGACAGGATTCTTGCTTGACTCTGCTACTGACTAGCTGTGTGACCCTGGGCAAGTGGATACCCCTGTCAGGGCCTCAGTTTCTTCCTCTGTCAAACAGGGGAGTTGGTCCAGATGACCAAAGTTTAAAAGGTCCCTTCTAGTTTAGGTCCTTAGATCCTATAATTATATTCTCCCCATATAGGTTGTAGTAAGTTAAGTAGATGCAGCTAGGTGGATTGCACAGTGGATGCAATGCTGGCCTGAGTCAGGAAGACTTGAGTGCGAATCCTGCCCCAGACACTTATTAGCCATGTGGTCTGGGCCACACCTCTTGGCCTCTGCTGCCTCCTCTACACAACGGGGATAGTAAGAGCACTAACCTTCCAGGGTTGTTGTGAGCCTCAAATAAACGCATGGCAAGCACTCTGCCTGCCTTCAGGCAGTAGAAAAATGCTGGCTGTTTATTCTTAGCTCATTAGTATTGGGCTGGATTCAGTTCAGTGCAAAAAGTTTTTATTGCATAGGAACCTTGAGGCAGGCACAGTGCTAGGTGCTGGGAAGCCCCAGTCTAAAGGGCAGGGGATACAGCACACATTGTACCCACCAATGAGCTTCTCCCCAACAGAGGCCAGAGGAAATACAAAGTAATTTGGGCTGAGGGAGTGACAATGTCTCATGTTGGAGGGAGTACATTCTGAAGAAGACCGGGATTCTTCCAGGCTGAGCTAAAGGTGGGAAGAGCATTCCAGGCAAAGAGAGAAGGATTCTCTCTCTTGTGCCATCAAGGAACCATGTCAGGGGGTGTATCATGCCCTATTTCAGTCTGCTGCCAGGAACCAGACACCAAATGGGCTCCTAGGTCTCAGGTCAATTGAGTAAGCTGTTGCGGGCACTACCATCCTTCCCAGTGATCCAAACTGGGGGCTCATCCTCAGCTCCTCACTCTCTCACCCCCACCATGTCCAATCAGATGACAAGTCCTGTTCTTTCTACCTCTCCAAAATACCCCCTTCTGCCCTCTGACATGGCCCTCAACCTGGTGCAGACCCTCCTCCCCTCGTGCCTGGACTATTGAAATGGCTGCTGGGGCGTCTGCCTGCTTCAATCTCTCCCCACTTCAGTCCAGCCTCCACTCAGCCACCAAAGTGATGCTCTACTCTGTGACTCAGTGACACTGGCGTTGTGGCCTTTCCCTTCAGCTCCTAACTGAGCATATTCACCTGTTGGCCTTCAAGCCTGGAACTCACACTCTCCCTCTTTTCTGAACCTAATGAGTTTCCCTGACTTCCTCCAAGTCTTTGCTAAAGTCCAACCTTCTGGAAGAACTCTTGCCTGGCTCCCTTTCCTCTGAGATTATCACCAGTTCATTTGGTCTCTCTCTGGTTTGTGCCTCGTACTGTCAGCTCCTTGACAACAGACATGGTTTTTATCTGGTTTTTTTTTGGGGGGGGGTAGCCTAGCACTTAGCACAGTGTCTGACACATAGTAGGTGCTTAATAAATGCTTATTGACATGTACAAGGTGAAGATCTGACTCAGGACATGGGCAAGGACTTTCTGTATTAGCAATGAGGGGCCCAGGCACTGGGGAAGGCCCTCCTTGTCGTCTGTCTGCCTGGGCGTCTCCTAATTATAGGACTGACTCCTCCATGGATGCCCTGTGGCAACGCCTGGGAAGTCTGATGGGAAATCTGATTTGGGAGACAGTGAGCTTTTTTCCAGATGTTTTTATCATTCTCAGGATATAGGCAAACGCAGAAGCTCACAAAAGTCATTGAGGAAGGAGAACCTCCTTGCAGGCATCAGAGGGAAAAAGGCCTGGTGAAAAAGTATACGTGGGGTGTGAGACAACGAAGATGAAACCCGGGCTCTCTCTACACTTCTGGGCATAACAGAGGAATCACTTCTTAGGAGAGCTCTGGGGGGAGGGGACAAGGGAGGGAGGGGCTTCTTGTCGAAATCCGATGCGTCCTAATCCACCTCCCACCAGCATGATAGTAACTATTGGCCGAGGATCCTAGGTCCTCATGATCCCTTCTGTGGGATCCTGAGGCTTCTAAGGGGGGATGGCCAGCCTACAAACACACACAGTTTGTTATCCCTAAGGAACAGTTATCCCACAGTGCCAGTTATCCCTAAGGCACAAGTCAGCTCAGGCCACTTCCTGGCTCAAGAAGCTGCAGGGGTCACTACTGCCTATAGGCTAAGATACACAAATAGAACTCCCGTTTGGCATTTAGAGCCCTGCCCAGTCGGGCTCCAGCCGACCCTCCCAGAATGAGCTCGCAGCACTGTTTCCTGTGCCAGACTGTGACCCTCCTCACCTCCCCCGGTTGGAGCCTCAGCTCAGCTGCTACAGCCTTCAAGGGTCTTTTCCTGACCAATCCCCTTTTCTAGCGGTTAGCACTCTCCTCTCCACAGTCAACACTTTGTAGCTATCGGGTAGATATTTTGTATTTACTTCTCAGCATTAACATTGTATTTTCTCCACAGAATGTCACTTTCCTGAGGATGCCATGGCATAGAGCCAGAAAGACCTGAGTTTGAATCCTGCCCCAGACATTTAATAGCTGTGTGACCCTGAGCAAGTTACTTCATCTCAGTCTCAGTTCCTTCATCTGTAAAATGGGGATAATAGTGGCACCTACCTCCCAGGGTTGTTATGAGGATCAAAGAAGATATTCTATGTAAAATGCTTTGTAAACCTTACAGCCGCATATACATATTATACACACACACACACACACACACACACATATATCTGTAAGTGTGTATATATGTAATTATCACTATCGCTGTTATTTTCATTAGCTCTTTTCATTTCTATATCCTGAGTGCCTAGTAGAGCACCTGGCACATAATAGGGGCTTACTATCTATCTCCTGATGAGTTCACTGCTGGAGGAGCCTTTGCTTGGTGAGGCCAGCTTCAGGCCCCTGAGACAATGTAGTTGTCACTCCCTCCCTACAGAGGATCATGGCTCTTAGTGAGGACTGCCCAGGCAGTGGGGCACTCACCTCCTTGTGTCGGCAATCTTTCCGAAGGGATTTCTTCAAAACCTTGGCCTCATACTCCGCCCTTGGATGAGCCTGTGGAATAAGGCCAGTCTCAAGTTCAGTTACAAAGCAGAGATGCCAACCCAGCCCAGATGTGAACACATGGACAACCACTCCCTGGGCTTGGGGTCAGATTCACAGAGCTGCAGGAGGTTGGTGCCAGGTCAGAGCTGTGCCCTTTGGACTGCCCGTTCCCCTTTCCCCTGCAGCTCCCTGGGAATTCTCCCCACTGGCAATGGATGAGGGGGGCTGCCCCCCATCCCTGGGGCAGCTTCTGTTTCCTGGCAGCAAGCCCCAGGCAGTTCAAGAACTCGCTGACCACAGAGATGGTAGCTGGAGACAAGTGCCATACAGCAATCAGAGGAGAAAAGATTAGCCCCAGCAAGCACCGGCAGATGCAAGGATCCCCCTACCCCCACCCCCATTCAAAGGCAGGCTCTTGGCTTGGACCAGCTTGAAGAACAGAAATGAGAATGGAAGACTGAATGTTAAGACAGGCCAATGCTGGTAGGAAAAAAGGCAGTCTGGCTACTGGGCAAAGGAGCCATCGAGAACGGCTCTGTCAGAAGCAGGAAGGGAAATGAGACGATGGCCGAGCATCAGGGGTGAGCGCAAAGTCCCTTTCTGCAGGGAGACAGGGCGGGAGGAAGAAATGGAGTCACAAAAAGTTCCAAACCTTGACGGTCTCCTTCATGGATCAGTAAAATGGGGAGAAGAAAGAAACAACAAATTGTAAATTACTTCAACGGGCTAAAAATCTCAATCTCTCTTTTTGCTGAGAAGTCAGAAAGCCAGGGAGAGTGGAGATGGAATGGGGGCAAAAGAGACGGCTGGGGAACGTTCCACCCTGACGTCTGTTGGATCCCCAAGTCGTTGTTTGGGGAATCAGCAAAATAAATCATCTTTACATAGCGTTGGAACCTCCCAGAGGATGTGATATGTTTAAATGCTTTGGGCTAATGTGAAGGAAGCACAGGGCTGAGTAATGAGACTCTATGTGCTTCTTGCTTCCTGATTTTATCCTTAGCCACTGGTGCCCAAACCTCTGGGGATATAAAACGCCCTAGGCCGCTAGCATCCCACACCTCTCTTCTCTAGCAGCGACTGGGGGACACAGCAGGGAGAGTGGGCCTACCCATGAGAAGCCCACTTTGGAGACACTCAGGAAGTCTGAGGCAACTCAATTGTTTCCATCCTCACCATAGCAGTGTGGTCTGGCTCTGTAGCCAGGGGCCCTGGGTTCAAATTCCAGGCCTGCACCTCAGTAACCGTGTGAGTGGCTTCAATTCCCTGGGTCTGTTTCCTCCCCTTTGTTAAATGAGGGGGTTGGGCATCCAAGGTCTTGCCCTTCCTGCTCTAGGTCTAGGAGCCTATGAAGAAGGAAGGACTCAAGAACTTTGTCCTCTCTGGAGCATCATTTTCCCGCTGGAAATTTCCCTTTCCCAAGGCACACCAAAAACCAGTGATTTCCTGATGCGGGATCTTCCTACAAGGAAGATGACTCATTTATAACTTGAGGTCTTGGAAGATTAGTTGGCTGAGGTTTTGGTTGCTGTGTTCAGGGCCAGTTAGTAAGTGGGAGAGGTTGGGTTTGGCCCTGCTGACCCCAAATCCAACACCTCTGTGTCCATTAGACACAACATGTCCAAAATGCTTCAGGACTCCATGGTCCTAAAGCCATGCCAGGCACCACTCTGGGTGAAGAGGGACCTTACCCCAATTCTCCTCTTCTTTTCACCCAAATCAAGTCAAAGAGTCAGACTCTTCTTAACTTGCATTAGAAAGTGAGTCCCTTGTATCTCAGCACTTAGCACGGTACTTGGCACCAAGCAACAGCTTAATAAGTATCAGTGGAATCTCATTCCATCAGGTTCCACCTGTTAGTACGTAAGCCCTCCAACACGTACCCAAATTGCCTGGCTTCCTGGTATGCATGACCCATTACTCAAGCTTCCTGCCCACAGCATACCCTACACACACACACCTTCCATGTATATTCCCTGGCCATGCATGCTTTCTACATGTGTGCCCTCCCCCAATATTTTTGTGGTAACTTATGGAAGAATGTACCCACATAGCAGTGATCATTCCTTGTTCCTGATTCGCCAGGCTGTTTCATTAAATGCCTTTTTTAGGGCAAACCACTGTGTCTTCTGGAAGACTGGTAGATGTAAGCACATCAGTGGGGGCTCACAAGCTGTGGTTGTTTGTGGATCCCAACCCAGAGGGTGCTACATTTTGGAGAACAATGAGAGGGTGTGCTGGGGTCTATATGAGCCCCATGGGACAAATAAAAAAAATGGGATAAAATCATATTTGTACCTCTGACTTCGAGGGTCACTCTCTATCAAAATGATTGAATGACATATCTGGCTACTTTTAAACACAAAGGAGATTTTTATGTCATAACCGAAATGTCTAAAAGGGTTAAAAAAAACCCAACAAATGAATGATCTAACAAACTCAGATGGTCTGCTATGATGTACAAAGGAACTCATGAGGTCACAGGGCTGCCGTCTGGTAGGAGCTCTTGAGGCCTTGGGGTCTGTGCCAGAAACATTTCTAATAAATGATTCCACTTTTTCATCTGACAAGATCTGAGGGCCTGTACCCGAGGAAACCAGCAATTAGTGCTGAGTCAATGAGGGCATTTCTCCTGAGCTGCTGGGAGAAGACAGAGCACTCTGGCTTCAAGCCCTTCTGTGAAGCCATAATTACACTTTGAATCTTCCCTCCTTTTTTTAGATCCCAAAGGGGCCAATGGGTTTTGTGTCCTTCAGTATTTCCATCTTTCCCCCACCCCCTTGCTGTTAACCACACCCAACGGTAGAAGTGTTAACCAGTGAGCTGGCCAGAAGGGGGAGGTTTGGTCCTAATTTGTGTGAGCCTTTTGTCTAATATTACCCTGGCAAGGATGGTGGGCACGCCTAGATGGGCCCGGGCCCTGCTTTTAGCACCTTAACTAGAGCAGCGAGGGAGTCTGAGTATACAGGAATCTCCATGACCACACCGGCTGCTATGGTCTCCCACTGGTGTGGACGTCCAAAGCATTCCTGCACATACATGGGGCAGGTCTCCCTGGTAACCAAACATGCTTCCAACACATTCAAAGATGAGCTCAGAAACAGCCCACGTGGAGGATTTTCCTTCTGCCCTTGGGCAGGGATCACTTTACCATCCCATCCCACACTCATATAAGGCTGCAGGACAGACTGGATTGTTTCGGGGACCTCCAAATGCCCCAGCAACTAAGAGGCAAGGGAAGGGTAGAGATGCAGCCAGCATCCAGCGGTACTGACCTCTTCCTCCTCGAACCCAGTCAAGTCCCATTTATAGTTGAGTCGCATCTGTTTTCTTTTCCAATGTTCCATAAACATGGCAGCTGGACAGAGTAGAGAAAAAACGAGGGAGTCAAACTCACAGGCAATTCTGTTAATGTCTACGGCCGTCAAAACCCGCTTCAAGCTGGCTCAGGAGAACCTATGTAGGCACATCGGCTGCTGAGGTTGAAATGAGTCATTGGGGCAACCCTCCCCATTGGGCTGGCCCAGGTTAGTTTTACAATTCCAGCCTGGGATGGTCTGTTTCCAGCCTCACCCTCCCCTCCAGCCCAGCCCAGCTTCCCAGACCCAGATCTCGTGCCAACTCTTTCATGAAGCCTTCCCTGGTATCTCCAGCTGGAAGCCATCCCCAAAGCACTTTGTTCTCCTCTTGAGGCACTTACCAAGCTCCTTCATAGTCTAGTTATTTTTATCCATGTTTTATGTTCCGATTAGTTCTTAAGTTCCTTGGGGTGTGGGACTGATTTTATACATCTATCTGCAAGCTCCTTTCCCGTTTGCCTACACACATCTAAGTCTCCTATATCCTTCAAACAAGCAAAATCCTTCACTTGGCCTTGCTATCCCCTCAAGCTGTCATCCTTTGCTCTCCTCCCTTTCACTGCTCACTTTTTACTCCCTCATAGACTGGCTCCCAACCCCACCACCTGACTCAAAACTGTTCTCCCAAGGCCACCAGTGACCTCTTTAACCTCTTAACTGATAAACCCAATGGTCTTTTCCCAGTCCTCATTCCACTGGAATGCTCTGCAGTTGTCCAACACTCTTGGTCACGCGCGCCCTCCTCCTGGACTGGCTCTTCCCTTGGCTTCCCTGCCATGACCGTTGTGGTCCTCTTTCCATCTGTCTGGATTTTGCTACTTCTCAAGTTCCTTGAATGGGTGATCATCTGTCTCCTGGCCCTAGAATGGCCGTTGCCCAGGTCTGGATCCTGGACACTCATCTATCCCTATTTATGTACACCTCCATCTTAAAGAACTCACCAATTTCCATGAGTCAATTACACCTCTATGGAGCTGACCTCCAGATCTAGGCATCTTTTTAATTTTTTAAAAAATTTTCACATTAGTCATGCTGTAAAGAAGAATTAGAACCCATGGAAGAAACCACAAGAAAAAAGAAGCCAAAACAGAGAGAGCAAACAGTATGCTTTGATCCAGATCTCGAGATCTTGCCCTAGTGTCTTCCACTGGAATCTTCTCCTGGATGTCCTATATGCATGTCAAACTCAATGTGCCCAAACTGGGATTCATCATCGTCCCCCCAACCTGCCCCACTGCAGAACGTCTCTCAGTCTCTAGAAAGCCCCATCATCACAGCCATCCAGGTTCACCACCATGAAGTCTGCCTTGCCTTTCCTGTCCACCACACCTCCCCATTCCTATCCAATCAATTGTCAAATCTTGTTGTTTCTATGATGGCTATTTCTCTCACATCTGTTCCCTTCTACCCACTTGCATGGATACCTCCCTATTTCAGGCTCTTAGCGTCTCTCACTTGGTCCACTGTGACAGCCAACTTTTCCCCCTGCATTTATTTTCTCACATTCCCAGCCTGTCTACACCGTATTGATATTTCTAAAAGACAGGTCTGACAATGTCATCCCATTATGCCACTTGCTCTGTAATCTGGCATTTAGGAATCAGACTCCGACACACCTCTCCCATCTTATTTCATATGTTTTTCCTTCATGAATTCCCTGCTCTACCCAAATGACCGAAGTGCCATTGCTGAAAGCTGGTCTCTGGCTCCTATCTCTGAGTGTGTCTGGCAGCCAGTGCCTGAATCTGAGATGCCTGATCTCTCCCTGTCGACCCTTTCAGGCTCCTGGAGCTGCCACAAGGAAGTTACTCCTCCCTTCCCACCAGTGCAAAGGTGACTCTGGGACCAGGGCTCTGGACCCACACTCACTGAATTCTATCAGGATATGTTAAGCACTTCCCTTGGCCAGCGTACTGTGCCAGGCACCAGAGATGATACAACAAAAAGAACCCAAGAAATTGTGCCGGCCCTCCAAGAGCTTTAAGTCTTACTTACTGCCAGCTGCCTGACCTTCTCCTCCCCACAAGTTCCAGCTTTGTGTCCTAGCTTGCCTCTTTCCTCTCTCCTCACTCAATCATCTTTCTTTGCCTCGAGCACCTGTCTGGCACGCAGAAGCCTTAAGCCTGGATTGAACTGGAAACGTGCTTCTGTGTTGGTCCATGACATGCCTACTTGCAGTCTTATTAAAGGAATCTTTGAAAGGCAGCCCTTTGAAAGGAGAGCAGCCTCTCCAGAAATATGGCTCTAGGAGGCAGCTGGGTATAGTGGCTAGAGGACTTCAAATGGTGGCTTGAAACCTGCCTCACTTACTAGCTGTGTGACTGGGCAAATGACTTAGCTCACTGTGCCTCAGTTTCCTGATCTGTAAAATGGGAAACACTGACCCAAGGAGGTTGTTATGAGGCTGGAATGAAATAATGTGTGTAAAGGGCTGGGGCAAACCTTAGAGCCCTATAGACATGGGAGCTGCAGCCATCGCTTTCCCCTGAGCTGCCCTCATCCACCCACCTGCATGGAGGTTCTCTCCTGGCTTAGGTGGTTTAAGATCAGGGACTGCAGCTCTGTCTGCTCACTTGACTCTGGGCTCTCTGCGCTCTCCATATTTTATGGATTCACTTAGCTCATGGCCAGGTGAAGGGACCGAAAGGGCAGATGTTAGACACATGGTGGAGGGAGAAACATCACAAATAGAAGCTTCCTGAGGCCAGGGGCTCTTGTGGTTGTTGTTCTTTGTGGTCCAAACACTGGCCACATGCCTGGCACAGAGCAGGACCTCAGCAAACTCTTGATGGCTTGGCTTTCTGCGGTATAAAGCAAGGTGGGCCCTGGCCAAATTGGGAACGTCAGGGCTGGATGAGACCATTCAGTCCAAAGCCTTCGTTGGACAGAGCTGGGGAAAATTTAAGGCCAGAGACAGAAAGCAACATATCCAAGGTCACATGGCTAGTTAGTGGCAATTAACTTTTGTAATCGTGACCTGCTGCTAGGACTGTGCCAGCTCTTTGGGGGTTTTAGGAATTACACATGTGACATGCAATTTGAGCCAACAATAGGAAAAGCAGACAAGTTCTACTAACTGGGGCTCAGAAAGGTTTAGGAATCAAGATTCAACTCAGGTGTCCCTCAAACCCAGGAACAGTGCCTTCCTGCCTGTCCTCCTTCCTTTCTCCCTTTCTCCCTCCTCTTTCCCATCTCACTTCCTTCCCTTCTCTTCTCTCTCTTTCTTTCGTATTTTAAGTTTCACTGATGCCCTTGGCTTTTACATTCTAGCCTTTTCTAGAAATTCTCCACTTCAGATCAAACTTTCCCTGACAAAAAAAAAGTCAAACTGTTAAGCACAAACACCCAGTAAGTGTCATAGATGATCACTTATGACCAGGGGTATGCTGGTACATGTTTAATAAATAGCTCTCCAGAAGGAAAAAAAAATTAAGTACACATGACACACTTTTAAGGTTATGCTGCACTAGTGAGATTTTCTTCAACACTTTTGTAAGCCTAGATAATCAGCAAAACAATAAATCAAGCCCTGATCTGTAGTAATTGTTGATTTTCAAGGTGTAAATGTTCATACCGAAAATTTAACAACTGGCTCTTTAACACTGGAACACGCTCCTGCTTAGCACCATGCAGCCCCACCCCCAATTCTGCGGCCATTCCCCAGTCTGAGGTGGGCTCCAGTTCACTGAGGCTTGGTTACTGGGTTACCTATCACAGATTTCTCCTTTCATTTCAGTTCCTGCCATGGTGATCTCTCCGTGGCCACGCTAACCTTAAGGATTTTTTCAAGGTCATGTTTAGGATCAATGGCAGAAGCTCAAGCCAGTCCCCATCCCTCCACCCTCCTCCCCACTGCTTCCTCAGCAGGTGAATAACAAAGCCTGTAACACTTCCGGAAGTAGACACTTGGACGAAGGGTGGTCCAACAGGTGGGGACAATGTTCTCCATTCAGTCAGTACAGGAACAAAAGTCACTCTCTGGAGTGGGGGAGCTGGTGTTTATAGAGCCAAGCTCCTCCCTCTCTGCCATCACCTCTAGGAGGATCTGAAGGAATCCAAAGCCAGCAGGTAAAAAACTCAGGTCATTGAAATGCTTCTGGGGCCAAGGGTGGGCACACCTTCCTTAGGCTGGCAGGCCTCGGGCTGGCCCTCCCTGCTGACCCACAGCTCTAAGGGCACCTGCTCCAACCCAGACTGGCCCCTTCCAGTGAAAATGTCCATCCCTTGAAGCATACTATTTGCTATTTTTTTTCCCTTCTGTTGAGTTTTATTTCCTCTTTCTGGTGGTTCCTCCTATTGGTTCTAATTCTTACTTACAACATCACTAATGTGAAAATATGTTTAATAGGAATGTAAATGTATAGCCTATATCAGATTGTGCACCATCTTGGGGAGGGTGGTGGGGAGGAAGAGGGAGAAAAATTTAAAACTCAAAAACTTGTGGAAGTGATTGTTGATAAATCAAAATAAATTAATTAAAATTTAAAAAAAAAGAAAATGTCCATCCCCTCCTGTGGCCATCTGGTTGGTTTCCTTAGTATGCCTCCACGGTACCCCCATGCAGTAGTCATGACCACATCCTGTCATGGTTGTCCTCCACTGTGCCCCCTAGAGGCCTAGCCATGCATATCTCAGAGCATCAGAGTTATGCCTTTTGGTGTCCAGTAGAAAGGAATGCCCAGAAGGCAGGACTCTTGTCTTCATGCTGCCAGTGCCTGGCACAGAGTAAGGCTTTCATAAATAATTGTTAAATTGATATGAGGCACAGAGGGAGGGGAGGAATGGAATGGCATCACATTTAGGCCAGATGTTATCACTAAGGAGAAATAACAGACTGCCCAGAGGTCTTACGATTCCTTCCTTCTAGAAGGGTCGGTGTGGCTAGACAACGGTCTATATGAAAAAGATCTGGGGGTTTTAGCGGATCACAAGCTCAACAGGACTCAAGATAGCTAGTTTAGCATACAAGATTAAGAAGGTGGTAGTCTTGTCCCCGTAG